ACCGGAGACCCTTTTTATTGGAAACGAGGCTTGGGCTTTTTTATTAAATGTGACATAGGTGGACAATGTAAAATGTGTAAACAGATGTGTAAAACTATTAGAAATACCACCAATTTAAAAATTCATCTTAGCTGACATCAGATAGGCACTTATTCTGAGCTAAGCAAAAGTTAAGAAAGTTCTACTACAGCAATTGCTGAAATCGTAAGTATCTATTTTCTACACAATTTTTATAGAAAAATAAAATAAAATTGAAGTGTGTATTTGTGTGCATCATAGTATCTGACAATTATTGAGGAGCTGGCGAACAAAACTAGACATGTCCTCTGTGAATTTTTTTTTTAATTTTTCGGGCTCTCCAAGTACACATCAATAAAATCACGAAATATTTTCATTCAAAACCAGTTCGATCATACGTTAAAAACATGTCTTCCTAACAGTTGAATAAAATTAAATAGCTTTTTTATTTCCAATCAACACTAGACAAATTTCATAGCATTATTAATCCTACGACTTGTTTTCAAACAAAGCTGTACTTGTCAAATGAAATTTGCTAATTATTGTTTCTGCTATGGTATCCCTGCTTAAAAGTATTAAGGGGACTACAGGAGCTAAACGCAAGTTTTATATTGACTTAAAGTATATGATCCAATGCAGTAAACTACATTAGAAAAATATATGATATTTTTTAGTATATATGCTAGTTAGATACTGTGTTGAAAACATGATACTACTAATTTGATACGATAGAAAAAAATCATAAAGATACCTCTAAAAATTAGTTTTATCGAGTAAAAACCATAATAATATACATGCAATTATTTTGAGTTTTTGTCAGATTATTCTACAAGCAACATATTAACGTAATAGTGTTTTAATTTTTTAATCAAATTAATAGATTTTGTTTAAAATCGCATTTTCTTATTTCTGAAATAATACGTACGGATGTGTGCGTAAACGCCTGTATACCGACACTGCTGGCCGAGGCCCGATGCTATATACACGTGTCGCTCTTTTTTGCCGCATTACTTACGTAAATATTGTTTAATGTTTTGTATAATTTTATTTTTAAATTCATTGTTTCATATTCATAAATATTCTTCTTTTCATAAACATTCTTCTTTCGTATAAATATAATATATTTTAAGTTCAGATTAATTTAAATTAAGTTAATAATTATAATTGGTAAATATGGGAAATAAAGTGAAACCCGTTACGAAGACTAAAAAACGTTCATATAAATCAAATGCCCAACATATGAACGATATTAAAAGGTAAGAACATTTTATTTTTACTAAATGTTTATTTTTATAACAATAAACTTATGATTTGGAAACGTAGTGTATACCTGAGTACCTGGGTTCGAATCCAGGAATATGAAGTCTAATTTAATTTAAAACTTTTATATTTAAAGTATTATGTATTTTGATAAATTTAAAAATATTTTATAAATAATAACTATAACAATATATATTTATTTTTATAACAATAAATCTATGAATTTAGGAAACGTAGTGTATTACAGTAGTGCATTTTTTAGTGTACGGATTTGCAGTTTGCACTCGAGAGTACCTGGGTTCGATTCCAGGAATATGAAGCCATATTTTCATTTTTCTTTTTTATTTAATATTATATATTTAGATAAATTTATTAAATGCTTTTATAAATTATAACTAAAAAATACATATTTATTTTTATAACAATAAACCTATATTTGTAGTTTGCACTCGAGAGTGCCCGGGTTCGATTCCAGAAATATGATTTCAAATTTTCTTTTTTATTTATTTATTTTTTATTTTTTTTATTTCTTTTTTATTACATATTTAAATAAACTTATTAATTAATTTTTTTAAATAATAACTAAAAAAAATCGTTTGAAATGGAATGATTTTTTACAGGAGAAAGAAAGTTGAAAATATCAACACAGAAGTTAGTATTTCCAATGTGTAAGTAAATACAACTTTTCTTTCTTATAATAACAACAAAAAAAAACTTAAAATACCTATTGTTTTTGTTAAAAGACTGCGGCTTATTGATAAATAACAAAAGGGCATGACGAAATAACAGAATCATTTGAAAATTGCGATTTTACTTATCATATGTAGGAGTTTAGGTTTATTGATTTTGTTTATAATTATGAATTATAATTATGTATGAATGTTAGGTATTTTACTTATGGCTTAACAATTTTTCAAAGGCAAATACAAAAAATAAACGAAATGCAAATTTTTATTACATATCTTGTGAACCATAGAGCTAGAATATTTAGAATTGACATATCTACATAATTTGAAATATTTAATTTTTTCCATAGACTGGAAACAGTACCACAAGAAAATCATCATTGTGAGGTTATTGATATAAGTAAATATTATCCATCGAAGCATGTACTGAAAGAAGCCTATAGTACACAGGTAATATTCATAACATCAGCCGCACGTTGTAATGTAACATAACCTTGCCACAAACACGTTTAGTTTTAAAATTAATTTTGAAAATAATAATGGAATAATGAAATTTTAGGTGGCTTGTACTCCTGAAAGGCAATTTGATGTCCAACCTAAAAACCAAGAAACAGATATATTAAATTACAGTATAGAAGTAAGTTTTTCACTCTTTTATAAAGAATACATCGTTACATAGAATTCTTTTAGGTTTAAATTTCAATGTTTTATACGAACAAATATTTATCTTATTTATCAAAAAATAGTATTCATATTCATTTATTTTTCAGATGGAAAACTATACTTCTAAGAAGAACATCCAAATTTGACGGAGAATTATTAACGTTTCCCATTTTTTGGAAAAGATAAATGAGATCTCAAATCACGGACCATTAGACTGCGGACTATCTTGTATCGAATTAGTTGGCGAAAAGATTCACGGTTTATCTTCCAAATTTACTTTTTCATGCAAAATGTGTAAACGACAATTTGTGATCGATAACGACGGTGATAATTTTTTTAAATATGTGCTGAAATGGCGCCAGTTAGGCGCCATTTCAATCGGGTGTGGTTATTCTCAGTTACAAGAATTTTCATCCGCCATGAATTTACCAATAATGTCTCAAAAAACTTACCAAAAGAACCACAAATTGTTGTCTGAGAACTGGCAGCAACTTGCACAACAGTCCATGGACCAAGCAGCTGAAGAAGAGAGGAATATGGCTATAGCAGAAGGCAGAGTCACTAGAAATAGCACGCCAATCATAGATGTGATAGCAGACGGTGTGTATGGTAAAAGGTCATACAAAAAAAATTATTCGGCTTTATCCGGTGCTGCCGCAATTATAGCCAGAAAAACAGGCAAAATTTTGTATTTGGGAGTGCGAAACAAATACTGCTACCATTGTGATCGTGCTGCCAAGAATAAAAAAACAATTCCTGAGCATTTCTGCTCTAAAAACTATACCGGTCCGTCCACAGGAATGGAGAGTGAAATTATTGTGGAAGGTTTTAAACAATCTTTGGCTACCCACGGTCTGATATACGGAAGACTCATATCTGACGGTGACTCAAACACTTATTCCAAAATTTTGCAAGTAAGACCATATCAAGATATTATAGTTGAGAAGGTTGAATGCAGAAATCATTTACTGAGGAATTTTTGTAATAAGATGCAGTCACTTCAAACCGAAACTAAATATTTAAAAAGTCACAGAAAACTGTTAACAATATCAAGAATCATGTATATGAAATCCTGCATAAAAAAAACAATTAAAAAGAACAAAAATAATCCCTGCCCAGAAGAGCAATATTTATTTGATGACATTTTGCAAGCACATCATCATGCTTTTGGAAATCACCTTGAATGCAAAACACATTTCTATGATAAAACAGGAAATGTGGAGCAAAATGATATTCCAAGTGATTTTAAGCTAAGTTCTCTGTGGCAGAGAATCTGTATTATGATTCAAGGTATTGCCAGCCATGCTCGAAGTTTACTTCATGACGTGGACAGCAACGTGGTGGAACGCTATCACAGCATCATTGCGAAATATGTAGGAGGGAAGAGAGTTAACTTTTCCCTCAAAAATTCGTATGAGACGCGATGCATTGCTTCAGCAGTGTCGTTCAATGAAGAAAATTCACTGTCAAAAGTATATAAGAAAAGTACTAACTTAAAACTATATAAGGTAAGCTGAAGATGTGGGAAGAAAGAAAACGTAAATAAAAAGTACTTAGTAAAAGGTATACAAAAAAGAAAAGACGACTAGTTTTCAGCCAAAAATGCAGTGATAAGGATTATGGCCAGTCATGTGAAAAACCTGATATGCCGGTAGAAGTACTGGATAAAATGAAAAACGATTTCATGAAATCTTTAAAAAAGACGGATGAGTAGCGAGCAATAATTGAAAGAAAAATTATTTTACAAAGTGCTAATGGAGAATGGCTTGAGATGAGAAGATCTTTATTGACTGCATCCAATTTCGCCAGGGTTATAAAAAAGGCGTACTAATACACCATGTGCTAATTTAGTAAAAGATATATACCGAAAAAAAAATTGATCACGTAGAATCCATAAGCCATGGCCAACAAAATGAAAAAACCGCCCTTGCACAATTGGGTGTACAAGAACATATAACCATTAGACCCTGTGGTTTATTTATAGACCAAAAATTATGTTTCTTCGGTGCAACGCCTGATGGATTAACTGGAGAACATACTGTGGTTGAAGTAAAGTGTCCTTTGACAGCCAATAAAATAGGCCTTGCAGCAGCAATTGAAAAGAAAAAAGTTAACTTCTGGCAAAAAACAAAAACAGGTAAATTTGTCATTAACAAAAAACATGCTTGGTATTACCAAGCTCAAGGGCAGCTACACGTGACTCAAAGAAAATATTGCCTATTTGCCGTATGGGAGAATGAAAAAGAAAAGCTAAAGACGGAAATAATTAAACGAGATGATAATTTTTGGGAAAAAGAAATGAAAGAAAAACTATCAAAATTCTATTTCGACTGCATATTACCTGAGATACTTGATCCCCGAATGTCAAGAAATATGACAATTCGTGAACCATACATAAAAAATAAAAATACGGACAAAGACAAAAGTGAAAAGAACGACAAAAGTGAAAACAAAGACAAAATCGAAAACAGGGGTAAAATCGAAAAGAAAGAAAAAAGCGAAAGCAAAGATAAAGATAACGACAAAATTATGCCAATCCAAAATTATGACGAAAATTATTCACAACAAATATCAACGTCTACACGTTACTTAGATTTTAGTAGAATTTAGGAACAAAAATAAATGAAAATTATTTTATAACACATTTATTTAATAATTGTATATATACGTATATAAACACATCAACAGAATCTAGGGATATTTTATATTTCATCGAATACCTAAAAATCTATGAAGAATTTTCAGATATAGTAAATGGAAAAATTATATGTTATTTTAAGTTCTCTAATATAAAATAAAAAACATTTCGTATTTTTTTTTTGTTTTAAACAAAAATATAATTTTTTTTTAATCACCGTATATTTGTATGATAAAAAAACTTCATACCTTCTTATAAAACTAGTATTTGTAATTAAAATTGAAAAAAATCTTATAAAATCTAATAATTAATAATCAGTGTTGCCACCTCTTATTTAATTACACATCGACATCGATTGTTTATACTTAAAATTAAATTTTCAATGTCTTGCTGCAGTATGAGATACCATGTTCTTTGCAAGTGTTCGTAAAGTGTTTGTTCCATACACATATACACACGCACACAAACACACACTCACACACAGATACACATACATATACATATATTTCTCAATTTTGTATTTAATAATTTGAAAACTAGATTTTGTTATCATTGTAGCACTTACAACTGTAAGTATGTACTTATTATATACCTACTATTACAGGGATTGAGACTGTTACTCCTTAACATATGTTATCCTTTAACCTAGCTAGGAGAACATCCACTAGATTGAATATAATATTTTATAGATAGTACATACGATGTAATGTCCTACCCATGTACTACAATCACTTTTATATAAATAAAGTTTATTACTATTATTATATAAATAAAAATGTTTTAAGTTTCATCGAATCAGCTTTATTTCAAAATCGCCCACATCCTTAAATTTTCAAGTAACATTAAATTAAAATTAAAAATAATTTCGTTGTCCCATCTATTTCTTTGTTAGATCTTTATCCTACCTGCGTTTCGTCTATTATAACACTCCGGCGTAACCTCGCTAATCCGTTAGTGTTAAACCTCACTGTCGTTAGATGGCGCTCACATGGAATGTGTAAATGTGTGCGTGCATCTTTCGAGGTCACTTGGCTCTTGTAGTCCTCTTAATACGGCATAATGGCATGAAAAAAAATTGATTGACTCTGCAGGCCATCCCTGGTACTTCCCGCCAATTTCAAATGCAAAGCGCTCCAAATTTCACCAAATCATGACGTTGAATATGAAATATCGGAGCTATTTAAAAAAAAATATTAATAAAAGCGCAAACTTGCTCGGTTGCGAAATCTCAAAGATATGTTAAAAAAAAACTTTTTTTTTAATTCTTACTCCGATGTCTCACGAACGAATGAACTGATTTTTATTTTCCAAACGGCATCCGACGTTATTTTTTGAGGTTAAGAGCTGATTAGTTTTTGAAATCGATCAGTAAAGCCATTTAAAAGTTATTCCAAAAAAAAAACAGTTAATCAAAATTTTTATTTTTGAGATTTCTCAAAATTTACTCGTCATATTATCACTCAGTTCATATTATCACCAATTCCATTCCACAATGAGATCTTTAGAACTCCGCAAACCGCATCTTAATCAACATACATCCGCACGGACGTCCACGTGAAATTAGTCAGAATAGCTTTCTGGGATCTCAAAACGAAATCTGATGAAAACTCGATTTTCGAAAATCGGAGTGAAACCAATAACTTCTCTATTTTTGAAAATTTTAATTTTTTTAGCGGGAAGTTAAAAATATGTCAGCAGTGCTAGTGAAAACACTTTTCAGATTTTATGGTGATTTATAAGATTTTTTGTTTGATTGTTTTGTGATGGAGGACTACAGTTGGTAACCATACAGACCGTGTCTTCGGCAGAGTAGAGAAACGTTTAACCCGCGAGTAGTCGCGCATGGATCGAAAAGACCCAGTACCTTGTTTCTTGTTCCATAACTTTTTAAATGTTAGTTACTATTCAAGGTCGCGCTCAGTACCTTTAAGCTACAATATAGGCTACCCGCACGCCCCGCCCCACAGTTCACGCGCGGCGTTTGGACAGCACGAACGTATAAAGTGAGTATGGGTCGTTTCGACCCTTACGCGACGGTTTATGTAAGTGTATTATTTCTCTTTAAAAATATTTTTAGTTTATTTTTTCTTCGCAGAAATGTCGCGTAATATTTTAGACGATCACAGAATTCAAGAAATTCTAGAGGAAGATGGTATTGAAGGAGAAGTCTCTTCAGAAATTGAAGATAAATTAGAGATCGACGATGACGACTCAAATTCCAGTCAAAGCGGCGATGATGATAATTCTGAGGCCGAAGATTTTTCAGCAGGTAATATTTCTGCCGAAATGTTACACAGAAGACCTGATCTCAGTGATGTGCCTCTGAGTTATATCCGTCAAGGATACTATGTGGGTAGAAATGGCTCCACTAACTGGAGTATTGAGGAACCCCCTATAAATGTTCGTACTCGTAGCCACAACATTATATTTCATGCGCCGGGACCGATTAATGAGGCAAAAGATGCACTTACGCCTTTGGACTGCTGGAGTCTTATGTTCCCTGACAGTCTTTTAGACATGGTTGTGACATATACCAATAGGTATGTATATTGACAGTATCCACGATAACTTCGAAAGAGAAAGAGACTGCTTACCTGCGGATTTGGTAGAATTGAAGGCTCTACTTGGGCTTCTTTATTACTGTGGATAACTTCGAGGAGCGCATTTGAACACCATGGATTTTTGGGCAACTGACGGCACTGGATCAGACGTGTGCACAGCTACCATGTCACGACAAAGATTTCATTTTTTACTTCGTTGCCTTACGTTTGATGATCCAAATACACGCGAACAGAGGAGACAAAATGATAAACTGGCTGCAATTAGAGATTTATTTACCAAATTCGTTGAAATTATAAAAAAACATTACTCTTTAGGGGATACAGTAACTATTGATGAAAACTGGAGCCATTCCGTGGTCGTTGTCCATTTCGCCAGTACATGCCGAAGAAGCCTGCCAAATACGGAATAAAAATATTTGTAATGGCTGACTCAAGAACTTACTATTCGGCATGTTTAGAAGTATACACCGGAAGGCAAAATTAAGGACCACATGCTGTAACTCTCCTCCAGATGTGAAACGTTTGGTTGAGCAAATAAGAGGGTCTCATCGTAACGTGGTAATGGATAATTGGTTTACGAGTATCCCATTGATGACAGAATTGTATGAAGATTATGAGTTTACGGTTGTAGGGACTCTTCGTAAAAATAAACCAGAAATACCCCCATGCTTTGTTGCTACACGAGGACGAGAAGAATGGACTACCTACTTTGGCTTTAAACCTAATTGTACATTAGTATCGTACTCACCAAGAAAGGGAAAAGTGGTGCTTCTTGCTTCTACAATGCATCATGATGCGAAAATAGATGTTGATACAGGAGATAAACGCAAGCCAGAAGTGATAATGGATTATAATATGCATAAATATGGAGTGGACGTGGTTGACGAGATGTGTGGTACATATTCTGTATCAAGAGTTAGTAGAAGATGGCCACTAACGATATTTTTTGGACTTATGAATGTGGGATGTATAAATGCGTTTGTTATTTATAACGCAAATATAACGCATATAAATCAAGAACCCCCCGAAAGACGTAACTTTTTAAAAGACATAGCTTTATCCCTTGTTAAACCACAAATAGAAAAGAGGTCTTCTATTACGACTCTCACATATATATCACATTCGGAGCAGATTGTTTCAAGTACTTGGCAGAGAACAAAGTACAGATCAAACGGCATCGGCTGGGCCGTAACAGTAACATTCGTGGGAGGTGTTCCACCTGCCCCCCCCCCTAAAAAGGATAGAAAATTCAAAACTCAATACCAAATATGTAAATCTTTCATATGTAGAGATCACACCGCATTTTTATGCATTAATTGAAATCAGAAAATGAGACAAAAATAAGATAAGACGGCAAGAAGACTAATTAGAAATATTTTTATGAGAAGTTTGAAAGCTGATTATAAAAAAACTTGTTATGTTAAATGTTTTATTTTATTGATTGTTTTAGGATAAAATTTATTAGTTTTTTGTAAGAATAATGTTTTTTTTTTCAGTTATACTAGAATAAAAAAGTTAGACTGTGATTCTGGTTCCTATGCATAAAAAAGTAAGATTTAACTCTTTGCTATTGTGATAAAAATAAATCAAAATATATAAATATTTGTGACTCATTATTGTTTTAGTTACCCTTTTCTTTTACGTTTATATAAAAAAATATAATTCCCTTTATTGGCATAGAATAATGCATTTAACTTTGGGGTCTTTTAGACCCTCACGCGACCGCTTATGTCACAAAATGAGACGCGAGTACCGGCGGGTTAATAAAGAAGCCATTTACCCTTCAACCTGAAACATATCACGAGATTTATGCAAAGCATGGAATTGTACACACCTTGGGTAAAGACTGAAATCTTTATAATGTGAAACAACTAGAACACTCCTACAAAAAAGTGGATAGTATCAGAGATGCAAAGCGTATACTGATGCAGAGAAAGTCCACCTTAACACAACCTCAAAATGCAGCTTCTACACCAAACACAAACATTCAAGGCCGTGGTGGACATCATGGAAGAGGATCCGGCCACCGTTGTGCAAGAGGACATGGCAGAGTTCGTAGAAATTACGAGCAGAGTCCCGCATTAACTCACATAAATTACGGCATGAATGTCTCGAACTTTTACAATGCCCAATAACCACAAAATGCAACATCTTTGCTAAAGACATCAAAAACCAACCCTACTCTTCTCCAAAAGCTTGATTTTGGAAAAGCAGTTTGGAAGTAACTGGGTTGTCTGATGTCATCTTTTTCCTATCACTTTATCGATATTGATAATAAGAGTCGTACAACAATAACATGTGCAATTTGTTGACATGCATGTCTCAGCTGTATTAGAGATATGGTAATGCACCCTTCTACCATTGGTACATAAAAATCTACTGTCATTGCAAAAATCCAGCGTAGTGGGACA